GGAACTGGCAGACCGCTCAGGAATATGCCAGTCGTGTTTGAGCCGCGCAATCCCAGCTGTATGGGATGGGATCATCCGCTTGTCTACCAGGTATATAAGGTTCCCATACGATGCAGTTGACCAGCCAAACATTAAAACGCACTTTGCAGTGATAGCCAGTTTTCCTAATGTAATCGGAGCGATCGACTGCACACACGTTGCTATAAAGGCGCCATCTGAAGAAGAATTTGCATATGTGAATAGAAAACATTTCCATTCAATAAATGTGCAGATAATATGTGATGCACAAATGCGCCTAACAAATATTGTGGCAAGGTGGCCTGGGTCAACCCATGGTTCATACATCCTTACAAACAGCATGGTTGGGATGAGGCTCCAAGCTGGCAGGATTCGCGATGGGTGGCTTCTTGGTGAGTGATGCATTTAAAGTTATGGTCCTATCTAAAAGTTGGTGCTGGTGGTTTTGTTTTTTGTTGCGTTTAATTATTCAACTGCCCATTAGGAGACCGCGGTTATCCACTAAAGACGTGGCTGTTAACCCCCCTCACCAACCCACAAACTGACCGAGAGCGCAGATACAATGATGCACATTCTCGCACTCAGTCAGTGGTAGAGCGGGCAATTGGGCAGCTGAAATGTCGCTGGCGCTGCCTTGACAGGACTGGGGGGATGCTGTTATACCGCCCTGAGAAGGTGTGCCGCATCGTGCTGGCCTGTGGTGAGCTGCACAATGTCGCGTACAGGCACGGCATACCACTTGGTGAGGTGGTGGCACCGCCAGATGACCCCGACCCAGGACCAGTGTATGTGCAGCCCAACTAACAAGCCATTCAGGCCCGTCAACATGTGATTGCGACAGTATAAATAGTAATCAGAGACCAAGTTCATGTTTTGACCAATTCGTTTAATGCGTGGCTTATGTCTGTGAGTGCGTCAGTGATATTTTTCAGGTGACTGTTAATTTCTCAGATGGCCCTAATGATTTGCTGTTGTGACTCCAGAACAGCATGCGTCAAGATGTGGCCAGATGGACGGGCCTCAGCACTGGGGGGAGCACTGGAAACACTGGACACACTGGGCCCTGGCTGCTCAGGAGGGGCAGACTCCGAGTGGGTGCCAGTGGATGTTCCTGCTGTTGCACCATATAAGTCCAAATAAACACAGGCACATGTTAACTGTGATTTGAGTCTGTTCCTTATTAATGGGTATACGCATTTGCTATAAATGCCATGGATATGTAAAATCTCTGGTGCATGCTACTTTTAGTAAGCTATATTGCATGCATTTGAAAATTAAATGCGGTCTGGTAAGCTATGTGTACCAAAGTTAAGCAAATAAATGAGAAATTAGTCCTGTAAATCCGAGTCTCCCACCACAACGGATACTATTCTGGAGAGTAAAGTGTCGCCTACAATCGAGGCAACTCTCTGCTCAAAGGGTGTAAGTTCATCGACCCCTGTACCACTGCCTGTTCTGCCCACACTTTGTCGGTGCGCAGCAGTTCTTCGCTTAACTTCCACCTTTATATCAGACCATTTTTTTAAAGCTCATTTACAGTGCGATTTTCCGATCCCACCGCGTTGACGGCATCAGCCAAACTGTCCCACTCATTGTTTTTTCTTTTGTTATTAATTCCAGAGGACAAAGTTCCAAATAAAATATTTTTTCTCGTTTCTACCTCTGATAGTAACACCTCCAATTCACTTTCAGTAAAGTTTCGTTTCTTGCTGCTTGTTTTTGACATTTTCTTTCTGCTTGCTTTTGAAAAGTGGACTCATTACCACATTCAAATTTATTGTAATTGAGGGAGGAGACAGGGCGGGGTGTTGTGCTCGTGCATGTGCGCTCAATTTCATGTTAATTGGGATGTACAAAGAGAATATGCATGGGATCCTGCGTACGCAGAGATTCATACATCTGATTTTTTTTGTGCGTACGCACCTTTACAGCTTTGTCCGTACGCAATGTTTTAGTATGAATTCAACTTTGTACATGAGGCCCCTGGAACTCAGGCCTAGACTAGTGTGCCTGTCGGCTCCCCCTGGGACATCAAGCAGACATCTTCCCCCTTCTTCAGGTGGGACAGCTTAATTAGCAGACACAAACAATTATATCAATATCGTGCACAATTCTATTTTAGTTATTATTTTACTCAAATCATTCGGGATTAACCAAGTTCTATCTTATTTGATCTTACCTGAACAGACAGCTGGGTGGTCAGGGATGGCAGACTCTAAAGAGGAACCACCAGGATACTCTGGCAGCAGCCCTCCCTCAAACAGGCTCTGGCTAAGTGGGTGTTTGTTGGAATGTGGTGTGGGACCACATGGTACCAGTGAGGGAAAAGGGCGGTTGGTGACATAGGCAAGTGAAAAGTCTTGCTCCTCAAAAATATCTGGGTTAAAAGGGCAGATGCCAGTGCACACAAAGCCAGACGTTATGTTTGTGGGTGTCGCTGCTCGTGGCAGAGCTGTGGCCACTAGGCTTGGAACATCATAGATGGTCAAAGTTTTTCCAGGGTGTGTTCTCATCCAGTGATCTGCTGCCGTGTTTATATATCGCTTCTGTGGACCAAAGACGCTCCTGTCAAGTGGCTGGAGACGATGTGAGCAGTGGGGTGGGAACGATAGTAGGACTATGCCGTTTGACCGACAAAAGTCAATTGCTGCCACAGAAAGGTGTGACCAATGATTGTCGAGGAGGAGAAGCACCTTCGACTCCAGGGTCACACGGGTGTGTCTGGCAAAGTGCTGTGTGAGCAGTGGGGTGGGAACGATAGTAGGACTATGCCGTTTGACCGACAAAAGTCAATTGCTGCCACAGAAAGGTGTGACCAATGATTGTCGAGGAGGAGAAGCACCTTCGACTCCAGGGTCACACGGGTGTGTCTGGCAAAGTGCTGGAGAAAGGCCAGAAAGTCTGTATCCTGCATCCAGCCTGAGCTATTTGCAGAACCAGCAGAACCAATGGGACCATTTCTCACAAAGTGGTCCTGGAACTTCTTCCTGGGAAAGATGAAATATGGGGGAATGCAATTGCCTTGTGCATTTACTGCAAGGGCAATGGTGACCAATGTCCCCCTCCCCCCAGAGGTCACTGCACCGACCTGGCGCATCCCCTTGGTGGCGATTATTTTATCTGGCACTTGGGACTGTCGTGGAACCTGAAAATTAATTATAAACTTTGATAAGCTTTCATGAACATTTGTAGGTGTTTATACCTAGATGTGTGTGTGTATAGTTGCATATTTATTTTCATTATTTATATATCTGTATTTATTTATTTGTATATTTATTTAAGCTAGGTGTGTGTGTGTAGTGTTTTTATATAATTCTTTATATAACTCTAGCTTTTTAGTTTAATGAATTGTAAACTTTACCGGTTTCAACCACGTTCCAAATGTCCTTTGCTTCAAAAAGGTAGCGGGCAAGAACTGTCTGCAGGTTGTTATAAAAAGCAGTCACATTTGTTTTATTGAAGCTGGTGGAATGGGACATGCTGGTGGCTTGAGGTCGGCGAATAGACAATAGCCGGGTTTCTATCCAAAGTTGCGAATTTAACTTGTGCGCAAAACTGGAATATCGCATAAAACATTTGCTAACAAGCATCGTTTCCATCCAACAAGTCAAAGATAACAAAATCGTCACTTCCTGATAAACTGGCACTAATAATTCTGTAAGAAAAGCAGGAGAATATAATAATGTTCATACAAACCCGATTCCAAAAAAGTTGGGACACTGTACGAATTGTGAATAAAAACAGAATGCAATGATGTGTAAGTTTCAAATTTCAATATTGTATTCAGAATACAACATAGATGACATATCAAATGCTTAAACTGAGAACATGTATAATTTTAAGGGAAAAATAAGTTGATTTTAAATTTCATGGCATCAAATTCTATTGTGAATAAAATATAAGTTTATGAGATTTGTAAATTATTCCATTTTTTTTTTACTCACAATTTGTACAGTTTTCCAACTTTTTTGGAATTGGGTTTGTATATAATAAATTACTTGCGCCTCAGAGCGAGCAGACGAAACACAATGAATTCGGTCATTCATTGCTTTCAGAGGTGGAACGCAGTCGTGTAAGACATTTCTGGGAGACAATTATACAGAAATACTTTGATGACAGACTTTGCTCGGGCATTTTCGAATGACCATAACAACATTTCAGATGCTGTGGAACAAGATCGGTCCACTGGTTAGTCAGGTTTTGCCGTCCCATAGCACAAAGTCACATTAATTTTTTGATGCGCTTGGAGGAATTTATTCGCAAAATGCATTTCCATCTCCCATCAACCCTTTTTCGCACAAGTCAAAAACCACCTCAAGTGAGCGTAAAAACTTTTTTGCGAATTAAGGGATTTTTATTCGAAATTTGGCGTTTCCATCACTCATTACTGATGCAATACTTAAAAGTGCGCATTAAAATAGGGTGGTGGAAACATAGCTAATGTATTGTTGCGTTCAAGGAAGGAGGTGAGCTAGTCCTTTCCCGCCATCTTGGTGGCATCCCATCCTTCTGAATATTTGCAGCCATATATGCTGGCCAATTCGTATGCAAATTTGCGCACTTAAAATATATATATAAAAAAATGGTTAGATGGAGATTGTTTATGACATGATTAAGATAAAATAAGACTTTACTGATCCTGCACTGGGGATTTTTATATGTTGCAGCAGCTTCAGAGACAGTGGAAAATGAAACATAATTTAGAAAGATAAAAGATTTAAAAAAAAGATAAAAATGTCAATAAAAAATCAAATTAAGATACAAATGTAAGGATAAAAGAAACTAGAATACTTTGATCTCCTGAGAGGCAAACAATGCACTGGCATCTTCCGCCACTGGATACCTTCCTTGGACCTGGTGCGCGGACCTTACACAAATGAAAAATATATTTAAAGAATATAAGTGTGAGTGAGCTGCATGTTAAAGGGGTCATATGATGTTGCTAAAAATAACATTATTTTGTGTATTTGGTCTAATGAAATGTGTTTATGCAGTTTAAGGTTCAAAAAACACATTATTTTCCACATACTGTACATTATTGTTTCTCCTCTATGCCCCGCCTTTCTGAAACGCGTCGATTTTTACAAAGCTCATCGGTCTGAAAAAGCGAGGTGTGCTCTGATTGGCCAGCTATCCAGTGCGTTGTGATTGGCCAAATTCTTCAAGCGTGTAACGGAAATGTTACGCCCCTCATCATACTGTGATGCCACATGTGACGACCCCGGGCTGGACTCCGCTTCGTCCACGGTGAAAGCCGATCCAGTGATCGACAGCGCGAAGTTGAAGTATTTCCTCAGCGACCAGCATGGATCAGCTCCAGGCATGACGAAGCAGATATCGTCCTCTTTTGGAAGACCAAACAAAGTAGTTTCGCTTTCACAACGAAACACACAGTGCCTTCACGACATGGCAGCGGCGGCAACAATACTACAGCGAGAATAAAAGTTACACCTTCTTTCTTTGCGTGAACATTTGGGCGGCGTTATGCAAATCTTCCCACATCGTGACGTAGACATGTTCTCCCTACTGGTCTCTGCCCTCCTCCTGCAGTATATGAGCAAAGTGACATGATGACATATGCCATGCGACTTAGCAGCTGCCCTGAGACTGATGTTCCTGACAGATATGTCCAGAAACGCCCTCTCATAAATATCTGGCTGAATCAGACCCCTGTCTGTCTTTCTGACCCTAACTCTTGGCATATTCTGTTGGTATAATATAACATGTTTTAATAAATGCTGCAACACCCAGAAAATCACATTAGCAGCGGGACAAAACAGCTGGCCCACCTCCAAACAAGCATC